TTCGTGAACGTCAGATCAGGCGTTGTGTCTTTACTGGAGCTAGTGCCCGCACGTGTGGGTGTGCTAGGGTTGGTGATGAGAGTTAATCCCTCTTGCTGCGAGTCAAACCAGAGGGCCCTACCTTTAGGAAACACATAAGAGTATCCCCAGGCAGTGTGTGGTGCGTTGAAGTCCCCCGCTATTAAGATGGGATTTTGGCCAGCGATGTTGAGGGCGCGTTTAAAGAGTGTGAGAAATCTGTGCTTTTTTTGTTTAGGGTTGCTGTATATGTTTAGTATAAAAAGGCTTTCCTGTGTCTTGCGTTGCGGAACGAGTTCAATAAATATATTGTCTATATTGGTAATTTCCGTGTCGTGTTGCGTGAACGTAAGGTTTCGTCTAACTAGGGTGGTAAGGACAGTCGTCTCCCCGTTGACATGTCCGATCGAGCGGTAGCCTGCCAATTTAGCGAGACAATGTGTCTCCTGCAATAAAATAATATCGGGCTTAACTTTCCCCTTAAGGTATTGGTTAAGATTTGCTTGCTTATTCGCGTAGCTTCTACAATTCCATTGCCAAATTGTGTAGGCGTGATTTCTAGCTATGATGAGATGCAGGGGGTAGGAATGTCGCCGGCTGTATCACACTGAATGCCGACGAGGAAGGTTGCTTTACATTCGCTGTGGGGTCCAGTCCGCTAGGCGGCAGAGGGGTGATTCTAGCCTCCACAGCGATGAGTCGCTGTTGTAGGTGTTCGTTTTGTTGCTGGGTAATTTTAGCTATAGTCTCTACGCGGTCAGTGAGGGATGAGATCAGTCGGGATGCGTTGCTCATCCACTCATTTAATTCTTTGACTGATTGCTGAACTTCCTTCAGGACTTTATTCTCGGGCGTTACGCGTGCGGGTTTGTATTCATTGGCCTGGGTTTCGGCTCTGCGCTTGGGAGGTGGTGGTGTTGTACCTTCCTCCAATTTTTCACTGGGTGTAACAGCTGAGTGTGGTGGTACTACTGGTGGAGCATGTTTTGTTGTTTTATAGTGGTGTAATTCCTCCTTGAGGGTCCTGTTTTCCTCTCCTAAAGCTGTCATTTTCTGGTTACATTGTGCTAACATCTGCTTTAGCTGTGCTATTTCAGCCTCTAATTTATCAAGTTTGCCTTGAGAAGCGGCCTCCTCAGACCCCGAGCGCGCCCCCTTGACTACGTCTACCCAGCCCACCTTGAAGGTTGCGCCAGGTCCAGGTGTACGGCTCCGAGATGTTGACTGCGACCGGGAGCGGCGCCGGGAGCGGGGCCGGGAGCGGGGCCGGGAGCGGGGCCGGGGGAGAGACCGCGACCGAGACCGCGACCGAGATCTCGACCAGGCTTTCTTTCCGGGCTTCCGGGTAGGAGTAGTGTCCCGCTGCTCGAGGCTGTTGTCGACAGGCGTTGGCTTCGTCGGGTAGTCTTCATATCGTTGTTGTTGTCGCTCCCATCGCCGGCGTTTCACCAGGTACGGCGTCTTGTAACGTGCCCTGCACGCCTTCTCGGCCGTCTGGTGGTCGCCGCCGCACAGTTGACAAGTGGGCTGGCATTGGTGATCTTGCGGGGGGTTGGTCGTACCACAGCCACGGCACACGTGGTCTTTCGGGTTTGGGCATACATCTGCGCGGTGCCCCAGGCGACCGCATTGGTAACACGTCTCTATCTGTTTGCGGTAAAGGGAGCACTTCAACATTGCCCCACCGTATCGAACGTATGTTGGCACGCGAAGACCAGCGAACAGTACGATCACCGTCGTTGTGTTGCTGAGGCGTTTTGCAGCGATGGCTGTAGGGTTCTTTGTTGTAATCACATTAGCTGTAATATCTCGGGCAGTATCTTCCAACGGGATATCACGTATCACGCCTTTCGACGTACCGTCTGGTGCTGCTTCATATGCGCTGGTATCGTACGTCTTGTTGCCGACCACAATGCGAGAGATTTTCTGATATCTATCAGCATGCGCCTCGATGGGTGTGCTCACAACGATGATATTTTGCTGGAAATTTGGGCATATTGTGTCCTCATCTTGGGCGTCTCTCGGAATTTCAGCGGCGTGGTAAATGCAAGTCGCCAGTCGGGCGGCTCCATAATCGGTGAGTCGAAGGCCGCCTTTAGGTCGGATGATGATCTTGTAGTCACCTCGGGGCAGTGGAGGCATCCGGCTTAATCTTGTTATTTGACTCAGGCATTGCTCACGCCGTTTCCTGCTGTTATTCCCTCGTTGAGAATCCGCACCGGGTTCTAGTGATTGCCCGCGGGTCGACTTCTTTGATCCTACGGTGCTCCATCCTGTACTTTCTTCGAATTCTTCACGAGAAATGGGTTCTCCCTCCACAGTGACCTCCATGTCTTCTCAAAAAGTCGGACGCGTCAAACGCGCCGACCGGCGTTTCTTGGTGCCCGCAGAGCTAGGCCGGCCTAGGCAGCAGCGTCTCTTGCAGCTGCGCTGCCGGTGGCTTGGCAGGCGTTAGGCCTATCTCTCTCGCTAGCGTGGTTGACAAAAATGCGTCGGTAAAGGTGTCAAAACTCAAGTCCCCACCTGGAACTTGGTGCCGGGCGATTCCTGATGACAAGCTGAATACGCGGGTACCAAAGTCTTGTGGGCTTCTAGGTGACTTCCGCTGCAAAACATTCGTTGAAACTGGAGCCGACACGACGCGCGTCCACTCGCTCCGACGAGAGCAGCGTCTCTCCAAGGAGGAACGATAGCTTCAAAAATTTCAAGGGTCTTAGAAGCATATTTTCCTTTTCAAGGGTTTTCAAGGAATTCAAATGCCTGTACACACACTAAAAGAAGCGTGGAGAAGAACACGAAGGAATAACTCTAGAGGCATCATGAAAACTGTCCACCTAGAAGTATATAGGCGGGCTTCAAGAACTCTGTTTCAAGTGACAATGATACATTTGCTTTTCCAACCATTCTTTGTTAAATACTATGGTCAGCAAGTGTTTGCCCCCATAATGTGTCAAGCAATGCTGCTGGCCGTGTGAGCTTATTTTACACTCTGCTTTGTGCAGTTGTGCGTCTGAACGAGGACAACTATAGTTGGGCAAGCTTGCATAGCTTGCAGCAAGTGTTTTAAATGACATAAATCATTTATGAATACAAGCAGAATGAGAAAAAAGGGATAATAGCAACATATGCAAATTAACATGTGCCCTTTTTCAGCACACGCCCACCGAGCTACATTACAAAAAAGTGGGCAGTAATAAGGTGTGTCCTTAGTACTTCTACCGACTTCTTTCTCATTCGATTACTAGAGTAGAAAAGGAGGACATTAAAGATGTCCCTGCTTTGTTCAAACGATTTTCATGCCAACCACATTACTATGGCTAGTAGTTTACACATATGCCAAACATGTCCATGAATGTGCATAACTGAAGCCTGGCATGAAGTTTTTGTTTTCACGTTTCAAGCTACAGTAAGCGCAAGAGTAAAAAAATTGAGACCCTCAAGGCAGAATACTGCTTGAAACTTGGTAATCTAATCAGGGACCATATTTAATGCAAGACATTATGAGCCACAGTGTAATGTATTAACATTACATTCGCGTCGATTTCATTATTCCCCCATCCTCCTTTAGCTTTGTCCACCTCACCTGGTGTTGTACATTCACTGTGGTTGACCGACCTTTGACCAAGTGACACTGTCAAATATCATGTCATCATATGAGGTTATCTAATTATGCCATGATAATGACATAATAATGTCGCATGATGAGGTGATAACTTGACATCATAAGTGACGTATGTTACATGAGTATTCGTACCACTTCATACGATTTCCATGTTTCCCTCAAGGGGCTCCACAACAAGACAATGTATTTGGCAGCTTAAGCAAGGCAGAAAGTTTGGGAAAACAAGAAACCATTATTTCAGCATTGCCATGTTTACATGGGCCTGAGCTTCTGCAATATACAAAAATAAAGAACAAAGTGAATGCAGGTTACTGGGGCCATAGAGTTTTCTAAAATTAACTAAAGGGGACTTTGGTTCTACAATCATTCAGCCGTGATGGGAATGATAGGTTTTATACAAATTTGCCTATTCTTTGTCCTTGCGCACTTTAAACATACTTGTGCCTTTGTCCATTGCTGTGTCTTAGTTTTGTTTCACATAAAAGAATGAACCGTTGGGAACTTCGTGATGCGATTTGAATTCGTGAGTCTAAAAGGTTAAAATACAACTGCTGAACATTTGCTCATTGTCGTTACATGACAAAGTGGCTCCAAGCCAAACGCGAAGCCAAACGGAGCTGAAAGTACGAATATTAGACAAATTTGTGTACTACTCATCATTCCCATGCTGGCTCAAGCACTGTACAATGCAGCTCCTATATACACTAGCGCCATAGTTCCCTCGAGTGTAGTGCTCCTCTATGACTGGGGCATCATGTACTAGGGCCTTCCACAAAAATATGCCACCAATCGCATGTTTGTTTCACTGCGCTGAAACTTAGTCGTTGAAATTTTTTGCAGCATAGAAAAATTTGTATGTGTGCACAATATTACAGTACTTCCAATATGTGGAGAGACAATGTGGTGGTACAAAAAAATCTGAGCTACACCTTAGTGTGTTTAGAGCTTTTTTTTTGTATACCAGGATAATACTTGATGTATAGCTCACTTGCTGTGTACGAACACCCAGGCCATGTAGCCATAGGATTACATGAGGTAATAACCTGGAAACATTTTACCGCTTTTGTACAAACAATCAAGCATATAGCGAGAATAGACATTGAAAATTTAAGATATCCTTGATGGTGGCATGTTTGATTTCACCATCATAGACCAATTCTCACCTCCTCATGCTTGAATTCCTGATTTAAGCTGAGATGCAGCAATGGGCTCCAGAGGAAACCATGCAGCTGAATAAAATAAGAATTAATGCATAATTTGTCGACTTTTTTTTCTTCACTCTAAAGTTTGCTTCTGATGTATGTGATATGCATGATAAGACCAATTTAAAAAAGAAGTCAACAATAGACATACTGAATGATGCAGTAGTGAAATTTTTATCCTGCACATTCTCACTTCATCAGCAGCATATTGAGCGATTGAACAAGAGTGCGAAAATATTTTCGTTTTTTAAGTTTTTATTAAAAGTAAATTTAACCTTAGTACCTAAACATTTCATTAGCAGCAAATGTAGAACACCTACTTTATTGAATCTTGATAAGCACTTATGACAAGAGAGCCAAAAAAAGGCAGTGGTGACATGCACAGTAAAACAATTAACAAGGGCACATAGCGACCAGCAGCATCACTATATGCACAGTGGGTGTCACCGATGCAGACAGGTCTCTTTTTTTTTTCATTTTAGAAAACACACAATCCTCCTCTCTTTATACACCACAAATTCAATACACATGCCATGAGACATTTGCAAACATGATCGAAAACCCAAGATCTGCCACAGCGAATTCACCCTCTGAGAAACAATTAACCAGGACACACATCCAGCTATGATCAACTCCTGCTAGCAAAAAGGGCAGTGGATTTAAAATCACTGCTATGAACAACAATGCCAGCAAAGGCAGATGTGTGCACCACATACAGCCAGGTCGTTAGAACCTGACGGTGCATTCAAGTCCTGAAAAGTTCACCGAGCGTGATGTCGACTACATCACTGCCATGACCATTGAGTGTGAGCTTGAACCTCACGAGGGCTTGGTATGCGACCAGCATTGCCAGGTCTCGATTAGGGCCCTCAGGAATATCACTGACGCAGTTCTCCATCATAAGACCAAAAGCACGACATGCGCCAACTGTTGGTGACACCACAACAGCTGTCGAGCCGGAAGGTTCCTCTAGGGGAGACTCTCGTCGATACCGGCCCATTGGGATGCTACCAACGTTGCAGGTTCCCACTCCACCAACAGCAACACCATTGTCGCTGTAGCACTTTCGCTTCATAGGTATGGCAGAGTGGGTTGGAGGTGGTGCGGGCTCACAAGGTGGATGCGATTCCGAAAGGCTGTGATCCTGCAGCCAGGGTTAGTAGGTAAAGAAAATGAGCGACAGCATTAACACAAAAGTGCGTGTCCAGTCATGTCTAGCTCTGTCTGTCAGCACAGTACACGAGCTCAGTAATTTTTTTTCATTTGCAGTTGTACGACAATAAGATTTCCACGTTAACTACAGTTGATAGAAGCATAAAATTTGAGTAATGAAAATGATGGCATTAAGACCTTACAATGTAGAAGATACGATAGAACAGTTGTGTGCCGTTAATATGAGAAACATAAAAAATATATGTAGCATTGCTGCAGCTTTTTTATATTGCATTATACCCACTCCATCAATCAGTCCTCTCTCTTCAGTCACAACAGGCATAGAGACAATGGCACTTTGAATAACATTTAACTTCTATTGGGCAGGCGAAATCTATTTGAAATAAAATATGGTGGCATGTGTTATGGGTCAGTTACAAGACAATGACATAGGTGTTAGAATGATCAGCTGCTTTGAAAGCTTGGAACTGTGGAGTACCTTAAAATATCTATTTTTCTCAAAGAATGTTCACACAAAACTGCAACAGATATTTGGGTAAAACAAACTTTTATGAACTTTCACAATGAAAGTTCATAACTTTCATTGTGAAGTTATTGTGAATTCATTGTGAAGTTCATTGTGAACGACGAGGCGCTGGTCGTTCGGACGAGCCAGCGCCTCGTCCGAACGATTTACCTGGTTACATGAACTGTCGTCCCGGACATTGCAATTCGCTTCCACGAAGCCGTCTGAAGACACTTTGTATGAAACTGATGCTGGGAAGCGAAATAACAGCTCACGAAACTCATCGTCTGCGCACTCGTTGTTGTCTTCACCGGTTTCCGCAAGTTCCGCCGTCTCGAAACCTGCCTTGCGTAAGCAGTTGTCCACTGTGTCCGTCTTCACGTCTGGCCAGGCATTGAAAATCTCTGCGGGAGAAAACTTTGCGGAGATTTCAGGCCACTTCTTCGTCATCCACTACAGGATCTCCTGGCTGCTCAGAGCTTCGCTTTCACCAGAATTTGTTTTGCCAACGATGTTGTAGTGCTGCTTAAATTAGTGAAGCCACCCGCTGTTGTCGGCGAAGTCGTTTCATCGAGTGCAGCGGCAAACCATTAGGCTTTGGCAATCAGTATCGGGCAATCCACTGGAATGTTCTTCGCGTGCACTTCTAAAACTCAGGCTTAGAGTGCCTTTTTTACATTCCAATGCTCCCGACATTTGCTGCTCTGGCGACTTTGCCTTGATATCAGCCTTGTTTTTGAACAAGGTACTCAAAAAGCTCTGTGGTATCCCGAAGTTGTCCGCGACGGTCGAACATTTCTCGCCCGCCTAAACACGCTGAATGCCCTTCAATTTCATCGCAAAGTCAAGGGTCTTGCGTCTCGTGATGCTGGCCATAGCTACACGAGAAGTCGACATATCAAGGAGTCTACAGCGGCTTTACACACCACACACGCAAAAGAAAAATACTGCACATGCGTTGGTACACAGGCGTCACGAGAGCAGAAGCAACAAAGCACTCATGAGACGATGTCCACCAGCGAGGGCAACAGCAAAAGGCACGAGCTGTAGTTGGCTGATAGAAACTCGCAAAACAGCAAAACAAAACATGGACGTCGGCTCTTCCGTTCCTGCTCCCCGAGCCGACGAGTACACAGAGAAAGCACGAGTTAGAGAACAAGAAGAGAAAGAAACGCCGTTCTGCAAGTTAGAAATAGTGCAGTCTGAACTCTCTCACCCTTACCTTTTTTTTTTTTTTTTTTTTTTAGCGTTTCGAGTTTTGGTGAACGCATGGTGCCAGGCGAAGGTTGCGAGGTGCTGCGAGTGCAAAACTGCACCTTCAAACTCGCACACGGAGACGCGCTGCCGCGGAGATCGCAGAGGGGTGAGGAGGGGGAGTGCTGAAGTGCATCATTCAGCTCGCGCGGCGTTCGCTATATCCAAAGCTGGGTAAGAATACCGTTTGATATAAACGTGAAAATTTTTATACTATTACAAAGGAATTTCAAGGGGATAACTTGCGAGCTCGATATACCCAAAAATTCTATATATGTGGCTTTGATATACCGATGTTCGAATGTATTTTGGGATATGCACTATGATGTGTGCCATAAGAGTGATGTAAATGCAGACGATGCATGAGAAAAAAAAACAACCAACAGAACCTGCTAACATGACACAGTTCGTAAGTAAACAAACCAGGTGGAAAAAATATACAATGTTGCATGCATTATACAGTAAACTCCCTTTAAGATAAACTCCAAGGGACCACGATCATTTGTTTTTCTCATCAGGAGTTGGTCTCATCAGAAGTGCCCCCAAAAACCAAATGGTAACATGGCAACTATGCCCAAATATGTTGCATGAAAACACTTGATGATGTACAGTGGACTCCCATTAAGTGGAACTCGGTTGAACGGAAAACCCGCATAAACGAAACTATCCAGGAACATTTGGTTGGTCGCCTATATAATTATTAATAAAAAGTTTTGGGTAATCGGAACACTTTTTAGCTTACACCGGTTAAATGAAACTAAAATGGGCAAAATCCATGATGTTAGTGACTCCATGATCCATGATGTTAGTGAAACGGGCAAATCCATGAGATAGTGACTCGCTATCTGTTTACATTGATGTAAACAGATCGTGAGTCACTATTCGGAAATGCATTGTATAACCCGTGTGCAGAAAAGAAAAGGTTTTCATCCAGATATTGCTCGTGATTCTCATCTCTGAGTATGACGCTAGGAATGATGGGGCTTTATTTACAGATTAGAGCTTCAGGAAATGATGATTCGCAGTGGAAGGTGTTGCAAGCAATGGCTCACAGCCGAGTTCATCGTTCCACTCCTCTACCATTTCACATCGATAAAACGTTTCAGTGCCGTCACGTTCTCACTTTCGTCATCCTGTTGACCTGACAATATTTTAGTTCAGTCGCGCACCCGTGTCGGCATCCTGTTTTCCAGAAGCTAATTAACATAATTTTTCGGTCACCATTTGAGGCCATACACGAGCAAAAAAATACATTTTAAATGTTTCACATTGCCCGCGCACATGGTTGATTCCCGTCTCTGCGCAGTGCATCGCTGCCTTGCATGACGTGCAAAGATGTGCCAGTGCCATCTGGCGGTTTCCTCCCAAGGTATTACGCGCTAGCTGGCGTGTTCATCACACTTCCCTATTCTAGCCAGTGCAGCCTAGCCAAGTCAATCCAGCGAGTGCACATGTCCGGCCACGCCCATGGCGCATGCCGAGCAGCAAACGACGTCTCGTCGTGAACTTGAGGACAGCCTGGATAGTCTAGCCTTAAAGAACCTTAGCTGAAGTTCAAGATGAGGATCAAGTGATAACGAGATGGTGTGTGATCCTGAGCCTCTTTTGTGGTGAACAGTGCAGCAAGAAATGCTGTGATCCTGTACTTTGAGCCCGATGGTGGCAAAGAGTTCTTGCGCAGCCTTTCAGCAATGAACTCCTACTATGGGAGAAAGTGCTTGAACAAGGCCAAGCAAATTGTTATCAACTCCTTTTCTCTGAGTCAGCAATATTAGAAACATTTTTCTTTCTAATCAACTATAGTTGTGTTACTGTGTACTTCAAAATGTTTTTGTTCAGTCAACCACAGTTTGTGCTTTTAAAATAAAGTCATATTAATTCATTTCGTGGGCTTTGCTTAAATGAAACTTCTCATAAATGGAACAAATTTTCTTGCCTCTTCGAGTTTCCTAGCAGTCCACTGTATATTTACAGTGGAGATATCAGGAACAAGAAAAAGCATTTATTTGGCTCAGCTTGATCAAAACTGTGCTTTCAAGTAGACTATTTAGGCTAATCTACAGACTGCTCGATTTCGAAAGTTCATAGTACCATATTTACTCGCGTAATGACCACACTTTTTTTTCTCGAAAAATCAGAGCAAAGTTGTGGATGCGTTTCTCATACAGGACAAATTTTATAAAAACATTTTCCGAATAAGCGAAAATTGCTGTAATGTAAAAAAAAAAAAAGTTGGGTCGCTCAGCACTTCCCATATGCGTAGACTGTTTGCAAACAGGTTTTTTGTTGCGCTTTACTCATATTCAGTGGTTTATGGCACTATCTTCTGCAAGCTGTCCACGTGCCGCTCGTGCACGCCATAAAAGCAATTTGCGGCTATTTTTTCTTGCAATCGTTTACCTGCAACCGTGAGATCTGAAGGGCACCCAGAAGCGCGCGCTATGACGCTACGCCTCACTTTTCCAACTTTGCGGCAACCTCGTACGACGATGACGTTGACACTCTAGCAAGTAACCAACACTTTAGCAAGCTACCCCGAAACATCAAAACCAACTGTCGATAACTAGACTAATAACAAAATACGGCCACCGCCCCGCTTTGACATTAGAAGATCCACTATGCGCGGCGAACAAAGAAGTCAGAATCGGGGGGGGGGGGGGGGGGGGGGGGGGCTACAATGTTGAAGAAATTGTCACAATTTTTCCTGGGTAATAAGGGATTTGTTATAGTTTTCCAGAAACCTACAAAGTGATAGCGACGAATGACATTTTATGAACGCAAATTCAGTCATAGTTACTCGAAAATACACTCGCACCGTTCGCACCGTTCATGAACCTCACTGTGGCACACATATAAAAAAGATAGGGGACGTGCCACGCACAGATAGAAAGAAAACCAATACGGCAACAGGCGAAGGAGGGGAAATAGTGAGCTGAGGTGGGTTGACATAATAAAAAATGAAAGAGATCCAAAGGGTAAGCAGGCGCTAGGTGTCGCTTAACGGGACTGCAGCAGATGAATGTAGGAGGTGTGTTTGTACCACGGGGGAAAAAAATCCAAATTTTGAGGACTGAAGTTGAGGGTTCACTTATTATGCAAGTAAATATAGTAATTATGCTCATGAATAAATTGATACCACATTTTAACAATAAAACTTTAGCACAACCCTTTTTCAATGATTACAAAAAGAGAAAGAAGAAGAGAAAAGCACA